TAAGACGGCCACCCCCCCCCCCCCCCCAATTAAACATGGTTCAATTTGCTCCAACAGGGGAGAAAAATTCCTTCTTGACCCCATAAGGCAATCGGATATTCCCTAGATCAACACAAAAAAAGTGGAGAAAAAAAAGCCAAACCTGTCACATTCCACGCTAAACTCCAAAAATGGACTAGATATAATTATTGGCACCTTTTCCAAATTGTAAGAAATAATTGTTTCCAAGTTTTTGTGGAAAAGTATGGACCATCTCAAGATTACAAGTCCATCTCCAGAGATCTTCATGTTCCTGTGTCCACTGTGCGCAACATTGTCAAGAAGTTTACAGCCCATGGCACTGGAGCGCATCTCCCGGGACGTGGACGAGAGAACAATTGATCAAAGATTGCAATGAAGGATTGTTCGAATGGTGGATAGAGACCCTTCATCAACTTCCAGACAAATTGAAGCTGACCTTCAGGCACAGGGTACAACTGTGTCATCTCGCAGTATACGTCGCCATCTGAATGAAAAGGGACGCTATGGTAGGAGACCCAGGAGGACCCCATTGCTGACACAGAAACATAAAAAAGCCAAAACTTACCTGAGGAACCCAAAAAAGTTTTTTGGTGCAGCCCATCATTCTACTGTTTTCAGAAAAAAAAAATGAGGCCTTTAAAGAAAAAAATCCGGCACGTACAGTCACACATGGTGGGGGGTCACTGATGTATTGGGGTTGCTTTGCTGCTTCAGGCACCGGATGTCTTGACTGTGTGCATGACATTATGAAATCTGAAGACTACCAGAGAATTCTGGGGTGCAATGACGGGCCCAGTGTCAGAAAGTTGGTTCTCTGTCAGAGGTCCTGTGTCTTACAGCAGGACAATGACCCAAAGCCATCAGACTATAGGTCATGTTTGGCGTAAACCAGACCCCTGCTCATCATCATAAACACACAAGAGTGGATTAGAAACAACAGTGCGAATGTCGTGAAATGTCAGAGGCCAGATTTCAATGAGAGAATTCATGTCTGTTCACTCATAGTCCTTATGCATCCTGACAGAGCTGGCGCAATTTTGCAAAAAAGGATGATGACAATTGCAGTTCTCAGATGTGCAGTCATTGACTCATCTCCTAGGGCAGTGGTGGCGAACCTTGGCACTCCAGCTGTGCCAAAACTACAAATCCCAACATGCATCTGCCTCCGGGAGTTATGTCTGTGGCTGTCAGAGCCTTGCAATGCCTCATGGGACTTGTAGTTCCAAAACAGCTGGAGTGCCAAGGTTCGCCACCACTGTCCTAGGGTAACCAATTAAAAATGTACCTTCAGAAGATATCTCCCCAAATTCTCACTGCTGCCTGATATCTGATTGCAGCCAAATGGAAGAACAAGTCTCCACTTTTCTTATCT